TATCTGGAAAACTGAAGTACTGCTGGGTCTTTGAGGTCTGCCCCATAAACAGTGCCTCTGGGACCTGTGACAACAGAAGTATGAAGAGATGCTCTAATAACAGAGATGCTAAACAGTATTATCATAGGTTGCATGATACAATGCACTATAATATTTAAAACATAAAGAACAAAAGTCTGTTTGGTTGATATATTACATCTGAGATTAGTAATCTGAGCAGCAAATGTATTCAGGTCTGCTGGCAGACACCACAGGAGAGACACGCAAGGCAAAGAACCCGCGGGCTTTCGAGTAACATTAATCTGCATTTATATAGCACATTTCACTTGATGATCTGGAAGAGTTTAATATTAAAACTCTCGCGGCCCTCCTGCGGGCTAAGAACCACGCTGTGCCTTTTTAATTGACGGGTAACATGGACTTCATCAAGAAAAAAAGAGCTGAAGGTGAAAGAGGGTGAAGGCCAAAGCTAGACAACTTACCCCTGCTGCCCACCCTTTGTAGCTCTCGTGTGAAGAAGCAGAAAGCAAAGAGGGGGACGCGCTGTTAATCAGAAGGTTACGCTGGAGCGATTACCACAAATAGTATCTCACAGTTGTGTGGCACAGCTTGCGACAGAGGTGGACAGTCGGTTCCCTGAGCCAAGAGCTGACCTGCCGAGGACGGCACGTCCAACAGCAGCCTGCACACACACACACGTACATGTGCACAACCAGAGCACGGATGATATCCTACAGACAGAGCCGGGATCTTGGGTCCTGGTTCCCGTTGGTTCTGCCGCTTCCAACAATGTGAGTAGAGAGGGAGAATCCCCCAAATAGTGTCAACCTTTCAGAGGCAAATCCCTTTGTGCAAAACCACTCCAAGATCTTCATTGAACTCACGGCCACATCATGCCATGAAACTCTATACATTCATGGTGCGTATGTCTTGGAGTCTTCAGAGGGAAAGATGCTCTCTTCTGAGCCATGAGAAGCACTCTTGAGACACCAGGGGTGGTCCAGAGCAACTGCTTTCAACTTTTGGCCAGCAGACCCTGTGGCATCCATGGCCTACCTTTAACGGGCCCGTTAAAGCTAAGAGAACCAACCTCTTATCAGTAGGTTTCTATTTACCATCAAATAGGCTGAACACCCCCACCCCCCCGCCCCCTCCCCCAAGTATGTTCAGAGCTGAAGAAAGCTTGAAAAACGCTACTTCAGAATTCCACACCAAAATTCCCACTCAACCTCTCCCTCTCCGGGTAACAAGATATGACAGGACCATGACCCAAGGCGGCATGGCTGCAGGCGTAAAAAAGTCTTCTCGCTCAAGCTATTCATCAAGTGAATAACCTGAATGAGTCTCACTTCGCAGCGAGTCTCTCGAGGCTCAAAGAAGATGCAGCTACAGAGTTGGGAGTCCCATTTTGTGTCTTCCCTCTGGAAGCATTTTCCCGGAAGATTAAACAACAGTGGCTGCCGGATCAACAGCGTGAACATCCTTGCTGTATCGTCCTTTATCCACTTTCAGAACCACTTCAGAACAGAGGAAAAAAAAAAGTTCAAAACTGCAGATCTACAATATTAAATTGATTGACTGACTGCGTAGTTCCATAGGATGAGGTACCCTCTCTACTGCAATGCCACGACAGATGTGTCGGCGCGTGCCTGCATGTGTGTGTAGGTGTTTTTTTGGAGGCTCCACAGCGATCATACCTGGCAGAAAGGCTCAAAAATTCTCAAGTACCCAAAGGTTTTGGGAAAACAGGCAACAAAGCTGAGGAGCCAGACTCCAGCAGTGCCCTCAGTGAGGGAAAGGCCACGGCGGCACCTCGTGATTGCACCATCAAAGGCCAACATCAGACAACCCCCGGACTACCCTTCAGACACAAAACCAGAGGAAACCGGGCTTCGCTGTCTCCACGGCTTGTGACAGGATTTGCTGCTCTCCCTGCAGTGTCGCTGTGCCTTCGTGGCACTTGGGACCTGGGCTGTCCTGCTTAGGTGAGGACGGGTTTGTTCTCCTCTGCTCCTTCCTCTCCACCTGCAGTACAGGCTGGGGAGACGCTTGCCCTGTTTTGCCACTGACCTGCTAAGCCACTTTCCCTCTCAGCACCTCTGTTTCCTCATCTTTGAAATAAGGATTATGACCTCTGCGAGACACTTTGATGTCCACGAATGAAGTGTGCTGTGGCACATATGCGTGTCTCTCTACTTTAAATGTTAGGTAATATATTGTCATAGTGGTGGGGGGTTTTTTTCTCTTTTGTTTATTCACCTTTACTATTAAAAATGGAAACCGATGAAGCACCCTGAAAAACAAAAAAAAAAAAAGAAAAAAGAAAAGACTTTGGATCAACCTTCGGTTTTGAAGATAATTATGGGAGAGAAAGCAATTTTGAAACAATGGATGGCAGAGTGCAATGCTTAGAAACTATAGGGCAGAACGTATTTCTCCAGCCCTCAGCTGACTGTTGCAATATTCCTGTTCTCTTCCATTTCCTAAGTCATGTACAAAACGTCCTTCCAAAATAAATTATTTAGCTCTGAACTGCTGCAATGCGCAGCAGGACGCTTGTCAGAGCAAAGCGCCACGAATGGAGGACACCTCGTGTGACCCTGGGGTGATGAAGACGAGTTCAGACTGCAACAAGTCCCGAGTGAGGATACAGCACCTGAAACGGTTGTGCACAGGCGGGGAAACCCTGCCTTGATCAGCCACCCACAGCAGGTCCCATCACTCCGGTGCTTCTCAGGAACGGCCTCGTTCCCTGCCTGGGCAGGAGGAACCCACAGCAGTTTAGTGTCCTTTGGACACCCGTTCTGTCACCCCATGACCCCTACCCGCCCGGGAAGGGGAATCCACAAAACACAAGCAAACACCAGGGTGGAAAAATAAAGAGATTTAATAGAAGAAGATGAAATAAATAACATAAATAACACTGAAGAACCCGTTGCTATTGGTCCCGATAGCAACAGGAAATACACGAGGATTCTCCTCAGCCCATCCTACCCGCAGGAAGCCGTGCGCTCCCAGCAGTGGACAGCACGTGTCGGACACTGCGAGCGCTGCGGCTTCGGGAGGGAAGGGAAGGGCTGAGGGCTGCGGCGCAGGGGCAAGGAGTCCTCAGCATCGCAGCCATCGAGGCAGAAAGAACTTCACAGCAAACTTCCGCAGTTACACATTTTCACAAATTCAGACACTCGACTCTTCTAAAAGTGCGGTCTTCCCAAGCA